ATATAAAATGATGGCAGGTAAAAACAAAGATCTTCCTCAAATTGTTAAACAGAGTTACCATATGATCCCACAGTTCTAATTCTAGGATTGCACTTAAGAGGAATGAAAACATATGTCAAAATAGAAGTTTGTACACAATGTAAACATTGTGTAAACTACCAGCCTTTTTTATACTAGCCAGAAAAATGGAAACCACCGAAATTTCAGCAACAAATCAATGGATAAGTAAAGTGTGCTAGACTCATGATAAAAGCTATATAACAAAATGAAGTTCTGATACATGCTACAACCTAAACGAACGTTGAAAACATTAAGTCTAAGTCAGAAAACACCAAATATTGTATGATTCAACTTACAGGCAATGTCCAGAATAGGTAACTCTACAGACAAAAAGTATATTAATGGTTCCCCAAAGACATAAAAAGAAAACAGATTTCTTTTTTGAATGGCAAGTACGTCCAAAATTAAATTGTGGTAATTTTCACACAGTTTGAGAGTATTCTAAAACTATTCATTTGTACACTTTATATGGGAAAGACACATAGCATGTAAATTATAATTAAATAAAGCATTTCAAAAACATGAAAGAATGGGTCGAAATTCTGAAGATAAATCAGACTGACCCACATTTGTGGTCTGGTAATACGGAAATGTCTCTTTTCACCCATGAAACTCCAGATTCATTCCCTACTTTCTATATTCATGAAAAATGGGACAGAAAGTCAAGCCTTTTCTTATTCCACGGAAATAAACACCACATGAAAATTGTCATTCTATTTTAGAATATAAGGAAATATCTCATTGTAAATGGCATGTCTATCTACAAACTGATAGCTAGAAACAGCTGGAAAGCAGGTTTTGAAATTTTAGAAATTAGAAGTTAATGTAAAAATGTCTTTATACCATTTGCAAACTTGATACCTAAATTAGTAAATTCCAGAATGTGCTAGTTACAAAAACAAATGTAACTCAGTGTTGAATGTGATCTTTTACCACTATTTTTTAATTTGGGAACAAATTATTGACTCAAACTTAATGCATAAACATTCTTTTTCTATAGATGTTCTGGGAAATCAACTAACAAGTATGACTAACAACTGAAAAACGAAAGAGCATATACTAGGGCTGATTCACAAGTGAGATACTTCTGGAGTTCATGATAGTCTATGTGGAGTTTCCGGGAATCTTTGCAGTCACTACATAACATAGAAGTCATCATCTTCCAGCCACTTTAAGTGACCCTTACAGGCTTGCCCAAGATGCACTGGGAACTCATAAGAGGCCACCAGAGTGTCTATCGTCTGCACTTTCTCCACACCATCTCCTATCAGTATGTCCTGACCCTCTTTCTCAGCCTTTCTAAGTAAGAAGTCCTATTCCAGTTTCATGCCTTGGCCACTTGGGTGAACGTTTTGATCAGGGACTCCAGACCCCACAGGTTTCTGCAGTGATATGTTAAGCCTGGAAACTATCTTTGAGAGATATCTATACCTCAGAAACCTCTGGGCCAGCCCTGACCTTCTCACTGGGGTGGAAGTATCAGAGCAATTATTATTAAGCACGAAGTATACACGGAGACTGATGCAGGTGTTTTATATAGATTAATTTCCAATCTTCATGGCTGTTCTCTCCTATAAGATTTCAGGCTTAAATACTTTAAAACCTTACATAAAATGACTCAGCTAATATGGACAGAGTTTAAGCACTTCACACTTGCAACGGTATTTTGTTCAGCCTGGCCAAAGACCACCTACAAGATCACCTGGAGAGTTTGTCAAACACACAGATTTTCTGGCCCCAGCTAGGATCAACTGAATCAGTTGTTTCCAGAATCTTAATAGTTTCACAATTTTCTGAAGTAATCTGTGATTCCGGCACACAGAAATTTGAAAAACACCACTTTTTTCCTCCTTGAGCATCAGTACAGTGTTTCACGAATTTTCTAACAAGTTGAAACCTCCAAATGGCCCTTCATTTTCACAGTGGATGGGGGATGGTTTTCATATACTTCTTTTTCCAAACTCCATTCGTTATATTCTTCACATTGCATGATATATTAGAAAATCCACACAGGGAAAAACAAAACAAAACAAAACAAAAAAAAAAACACCACTATTAACAAATAACTCTGTGTCAGTGGCACCACTTGACTAAAATGTTGAGCTCAGGAATCTGGCTTTTACTAGTCTTTATTTAAACATACAAACATACATAGAGGACTCCGACGCCCACTCTCCAACATCTCACATCGCTGACCTGCAACCTTGGTACTTAGTTACTAAACCCTCTCACTAATGCCTAGAATTTGGGTTCCCAATCACAGGCCTATTTAGACATAAAATCCACGGCATAAAGAGATGTTGCTACTCTTCATATTCTTGAGAATAAGGCCCTTCAAAAATGTGAAGGGTTCTGTCAGGTGCTTGGTAGAAAGGCTTTGTTTAGGATTTAGCTAACTAGTTGTACATATCAGTCCCAAATTTAATCTTTTCCTCTACCCAGCGCAACGCTTTGTTAATGGCGAGATCGTTCAGAAATATTTACTAGATGAATGAGTCAAGATACTGATCATTTGATGTATGAATATCAGAACTGCAAGAGACCACTGAGAGATGCAATTCAAACCTCTCTATCTTGTTTTACAATTGAGAAAACATCACGAGGATCATTAGCCAGAACTCAAGTCCCTTACCAATAGGGCAAGGTCACTCCCATTGTCTTCACATTTCAGAGCACTTAGTTGAAGTTATGTTGTCCTATCCAAGATAAGAACTCTGTGAGTTCCTGATTTTTTGTAAATTTTTCAGTTGTAATGTCCTTTCCCCAAATCACTTTGCCTCTAGGTAGTAGAATTTTGCCTCTCATTTTTATTTAGTATTGATACCTGCAATATGCCTGAGAAAGAAATCTAAAGGGACACTTATTGAGACAATAAAGGCACAAGCAAGATCATGAAAGAGAAAGAGAGGTGGAAAAGATGGTGTTCTAAAGATGATGCCCATTGAAAGAAGAGCAGAGAAAAGAATGCAGGAGATAATTTCAAGGAAAAAAAAAAATTTCACTGAGCTAAAAGTGTTCAAGCCTAAGAATACCCCCTCTAAGGGTAAAGTTTCATTCTCACCGATATGACAAACATTTTCCCAACAGAAGAAATTTAACACATTATATAAATACCCCAATACGCAAATGGTGGTAGTAATAATTAGTTTTCTCCCCTTTCATCTGCGTTGTTTCTGCCCACACGCATTTCCTATTTCAAGCTTTGGTGTAACAAATGCCTTTTTCAAACTGGAAGCCCACGCCTTGTTTTTGCACAAACACAGGTCTCTTTATCGCCACGTGCAGTCTCCCTAGCTCAGGAAATCGAACAATGAGGCATTTTCTTCTCTCCCTGGCTGCAGAGCTCTGACAGAATTCATTTAATTTCCATGTAAAATGTAATCTACGGATAATAATAGGTCACTCACAGCAATATCATTCTGCTCACCCTGATCAACCATCGTTGTGCTAATTGTAGGATAATGTAATATATAGCTAAGACACACACATAGAATTACACAGAGCATTTGTTTTTGTGATGCTATGAAGAGGATATAAGAGAGAGTGTCATGTCAGCAAATGTCATAGACATAGTCCCACTCTTCCTAAAATGACTCAGGAAATAAAAGTAAGGATTCTCATATACAGAACATCTTTGGTATTCTTGATGTCACCTGCAAAATCCACAGGACTTAGGTGATTTTTCTGGGCACAGCTAGACCACATAAATGCTCTATCACCCCTGATGTTGCAGCTTCTCGGCTCCTTGGGACAGAAACTTAGAGCAGCCAAATGATTGCTTGGGCAGGTGACAATCACCCACTAACTGGCTGTGCTCACTTTAAAATATTTCAAAAATATTGATCACAAAACTTAGATTCTTCTTTCTAAGCCCAAAAACCCCCAAAGCAGCAGAGGCCTTTTCTGTATAGAATTGCTTTCCTTCTGGTAGAAACCTAAATTTTCCCATACATGCTGTGTCTTTTTTGTTTTTGTGTTGGCAAAGTCAGAAGCTATCATAGCATGTGGGTGCCAAAAAGGTGGTTCCTAAAGATGGCCTAGCCCAATACGCTGGTTTAATTTATTTCATAATTTTTTATTCTTGTTACAAAGAGAATTCATGTTAATTGTAAGTTATCTGGAAAGAGGGAAGAAAACAGAAACGAGCCCAGAGAGCCCTGCAGTGCAGAGAATGAAGGTGAAGCCACAGAGAAAGAGAATTTTTCTTTCTCAGAGAGGGACACTAGGAGGGGTGGAAGGATGTGTTTGCACAAGGTTTGAAAACTAATACCTGAGAAGAGTGTATGTCCGTCTTAGCGGTCAGCATCACTCATGGATGTTGTCTAATCCTTATGTGCTGGGTGGGGCCTCCCAGCAACTCTCCTGCCAAAAAGCAAGGCAGCCTACTGGTCAGCACAAAGCTTGACCAGCTCCAGGGCTTGAAGCCAGATTTTCAGGCTTTGGAAGAGGAAAAGAGCCAGCCCATTCCCCGCTCTCCTGCTCCAGCTTTGTTGGAGTGTGTGTGTGAAGATGGAAATTATGTTCATGACCTGAGAGAGACGGAAAGAGAGAGAACTTCAGAGACCACAGGAGATGGAATCTGATGAGAAAGAGTCGGTATTAATCTGTTTTCACACTGCTATAAAGATACTACCTGAGACTGGGTAATTTATAAAGAAAGGAAGTTTAACTGACTCACAGTTCCGCATGTCTGGGAAAGCCTCAGGAAACTCACAAACATGGTGGAAGGTGAACGGGAAAGAGACACTTCTTTCACAGCAGCAGCAGAGAGCAAGCTAGCGAAGGGGAAGCGCCACGTTTTTAAACCATCAGTTCTCGTGAGAACTCATTCACTATCACGAGAAGAGCATGGCGGAAACCACTTCCGTATTACAATCACCTCCCACCAGGTCCCTCCCTCGACACGTGAGGATTAAAACTAGAGATGAGATTTGGGTGGAGAGACAGAGCCAAACCATTCCAAGGTCCAAGGAAGAAAGAACCAGAGAAAGCAGATGGAGCTCAGAGGCAAGTGTGGGGGAGAAACAAATAGAGCGCCAGGAGTGACAGAGTGAGGGCGGACGGGAAAGGGCGGACGGGATAGAGGAACAAGACAGAGGCCCAGAAGGGTAGGGAATAGAGGAACAGAGGGAGGGAGGCACAGAGGAAGAGGATAATGGGGTGGAAGAGAGAGAGGTGGGCAATGAGGGATGAAAAGAGAAAGAGAGCCGGGCACGGCTGGACCTCACGCCTGTAATCCCACACTTTGGGGAGGCGGAGGTGGGCGGATCACGAGGTCAGGTGATCCAGACCTCCTGGCTAACACGGTGAAACCCGTCTCTACTAAAAATACAAAAAAATTAGCCGGGCTTGGTGGCGGCCGTCTGTAGTCCCAGCAACTCGTGAGGCTGAGGCAGGAGAATGGGTGAACCTGGGAGGCGGAGCTTTGCGGTGGAGCCGGATGATCGCGCACTGCACTCCAGGCCTGGGTGACAGAGCGAGACTCCGTCTCAAAAAAAAAAAAAAAAAAAAAAAATCAAAAACAATAGAAAGAAAAGAGAAAGAGAAACCCAGAGTGAGACAGAAAGTAAATGAAACTGACGTGAGTGGCGTCTATACCACAGACTGAGCCCAGTGCTGTGGCAGGGGTCTGGAGGGAGGTGAGTGTGAATGTGTGCATGTGCGTGTGTGTGTGCATGAGAGGCACTATTGGTGCTAAAAGGAGCCTTAGACAATGCACAGGATTTAAAAGCTTCCTCTGGCTGGGCGCGGTGGCTCACGCCTGTAATCCCAGCACTTTGCAGGGTCGAGGCGGGCAGATCACCTGAGGTCAGGAGTTCCAGACCAGCCTGGCCAATGTGGTGAAACCCCCTCTCTACTAAAAATACAAAAATGAGCTGGGCATGGTGGCAGGTGCCTGTAATCCCAGCTATTCAGGAGGCCGAGGCAGGAGAATTGCTTGAACCCAGGAGGCAAAAGCTGCAGTGAGCCAAGATACCACCATTGCACTCCAGCCTGGGTGACAGAGCCAGACTCTGTCTCAAAAAAAAAAAAACTTCCTCTGACTTCTGATTCACGCACTCATGTCTACCCCTAGATACTCAGAGCACCTTGATAAGCCTGAAGAGGAGATTGTGTTCTTTATTCTTTCTCTCTTACCTGAAAAGCATTGCTTCTTCCCACATTTCAACCATTTTGTCAACAATCCGGTGATTCCCAGGTTCATAACTCTGCACACTGAGAAGCATGAGGTCATTTTGGAGGGGGCTGCTACCAGCCCAAATGTGGTGTGAGCTAAGCAGAGGGAGTGGGGTTTGGTGAGTGAGAAAGCAGTGAACACCCTCTGTTGGTTCAGTTCAGGGGTGAGACCCAGCTTCCCCAGGGCACTGAGAGCTAACTCAGATTTCCAGCACTGAGGTCACAGATCCAGGAATGGGACAAAGAGTGCCAAACCTGTGGCTTCAGGTGAGTGGTCAATGACTCTCCATCCAGGGCGTCAGCCTATAGGTCCATGAGTAGAAAGTAGCAGGCATCAGACTGAAGGGACACTGGACCCTGGGCTCAAAACCCAGGACTGAATTCTGGAGGCCAACACAGCAGGGGGTGGAGGTGAAGAGAAAGCTCTGTTCATGAGCAAAGTGTCCCAAGGGACACTGGATTCTGAGAATAAATGGCACTGGAGGGTATCCAAGATGGACCAACACAGTTACTCAGTAGACGTATCTGGGCTTCCTCATCCCAGATCACAGTGGGTGACTTGATTCAAAGCATCAGAAGGTAGACAGAGGAAGCAGGTGCTACCCTCCTGCCTGTGAAAGTTGTCTTGAGCCCTGGTCAATGGAAGACTCATTTGTGAAGAATGGAGAGAGAGAGAGAGGAGACATGGTCCTTGTCCTATAGGTGTGCCCAGTTACAAGGGAGACATGAGAAAACACCCCTCCACCACCCCCCACACACGCAAACACATCTCCAAACATGCTTATGAGTACCAATATGATAATGAAAAGACACAAAAAAAGGAGTAACAAATTCTACATCCTTGTTACTTAAAGTATGGTCCACAGACCTGAAGCATCAGCATCACCTGGATGCTTATTCGAAATGCAGTAGCCCAGGCCCTGCCACAGCTATAGAAGCAGGATCTGTGTTTTATCAAGAGTACATGAAGCCTGAAAAGCCATACTCCACATGACAGGGGATCGGGGAAGCCTTCTTGGAAGTGTAACACTTCCATGAGTTGGGTGTTACTTTGTCTTATAAGGAAAATGATATTTGACAGGCTCTGGATGGGTAGCCCAAAGCAGCGTATCTCTTAAATGACCAAAGCGGGTCTCAAACTCAGGTTTATGACTGAAAATTAAACTTACTAAATCAAGGATCACCACTTACATCACAGCGGCTATGTGCCAAGCCCAGAGCTAAGTTCTTTATTACTCAGTCCACTGTGTGCTTGGATTCTCACAAGAACCGTGTGAGATATGTTTTCCCCAGTCCACTGAGGAAGTAACAACAGGCTCAAAAAAGGCAGATAATGTTTCCCAAAGCCACACAGCTAGCAAGAAGCAAAGCTGGGATTCAAATACACAACTGTCTATTCCTGAGTCTGGGCTTGATCTTTGATCTGCTTTATATTGCCCAGGCCTGGTCACTGTGCCTCCCTGCCTCATTTTCTAAAGATGGAAAACCTGCTCTTCCGGTGACATCTGTCATTCTGTTCTTCTTTCTGGTCACAGCCAGCCCATTGTAGCCAAGCCCGTGGCCAGCCAGCAAGGACAACAGAAACCAGAAGCTGAGAGCAGGCAGCAGAGAGATCTGTGGCACAAGCTGGTCCCTAGCATTGGGCACGAGGGCTCCAGATCAGCACAGCATTCTGACCCACTTTAGGGTCAGAACTGGACATTTGTTTGCTTTCTGCCTGAACCATTCACTTAATGTCCTCCCATATCCACAGGCCGGACCCCCTGAAGCTTCCAGCCTGGGAAATGTTAAAGGACGTCAGGTTCCCAGAATGTTTTGAATTTTCCCAGTAGCAGGATGTCGAGGCTGGGGAGACACCTCTGTCTGCTCAACTGTTTCTCTCATTATAGCAAGATGTCTTTCAACTCCCCCTGCCCAGTGTTCTTCTCATGCAAACTCCACGTGGCATTTCCTGTCCTCGCAGCTCTTGCCTCAGATATAGCAGCCATAGAATCTCTGCCCTTCTACATTCATCTGCAAAGAGCTGACAAAAGGAATGCAGGTGGACATTCTCTCCACTTTGTTTTTAGACTTACAAACTCCCCCAGCCCGTGAATGCATCTGCCTGTAGGAGGGAGCTCTCTGAAATGCAAACCACGTGTACCTAAAGAAAGAAAGCTTGTTGTATTCCATTATAGGAAGGCCAGCAAAACCCAAAAATAAAATCAAATGGAGTGACTCTGAAAATACCCTCAGATCACCATCATGTATCCCTCTGGGACATAACCATTCAGAAGTCTCTGAATCTCAATTCTGATTTTCTGAACTGCCTCTGTAAGTCATTCCCCCATTGGGCTCAGCTTGCCTCAGGCAGGCTGGAGGCCCAGGGCCCTGCTCAGGTGCTGCTGCTGAGTGGAGCAGGCTCCTAATAAGGCAGGTGTCAGTCCAGAGAGAAAACATCATTAGCGATTGTTTGTGAAGGAGAAAACACTCACAGGGTGGTTGGGAAGGGAGGTGACTGTCTGCCTAAGGGGACAGTGATCAGGATATAAAACCCTCAACCCAGCCAGCAGCTGATGGGTATTCAGGAAGCAAGAGCATGCCGCTTCTATCCCTTAGAGAGCAAGGAACTCAGGACAATATGTTATCTTGTGAGCTGGGGTTCAGGATCTCCTAACAGGTACAGAAATACTTGACCAAAGTGGTGTTGGTTTGAGTGCGCGCGCTGGGGAGGGCTGGTGATTCCCGGAACGTCACCTTGGGAATAAAAACACAGCATTCAGCTCTACAAATGCTTTTGAGATTACAGGAGCCCCTTGATGGCTTTGAATTTAAGTGGAGATTGTTCCCCTGGGAGAAATCAGCCACAAATTTGCACAAGCACATGGGCATAAGGAAGGCAATTGTTCCGGCAGGGAGGCTTTTATCAAAGAACATGATGTGGAGTCAGAAGTAGAGAAAGGCCCTCCATGGGCGTCAGTGGGGTGGACTTCTGGAGCTCCGTGGTAAGACATGGGGCCGAGAAGACACGAATTCAAAGCTGATGGCTGCCCCTTCTCAAAGGACTTAGCTCAGGAGGTGGCAGAGGAGAAAGAAAGAGTGTGGGGTTTAGAACCAGGACTCCTGGCTTGAAGAACCCAATCCAACTTGTTTTCACCACCCTGACCCCAGCAGGATAAATGCTTTTGGTTTTCTGTTTTTATAACTGAATTATTATTTATAGGCAACAAAATTTTCCAATTTTAAGTGTGCGGCTCATGGAGGTTTGACAAATGTATTTTCCTTGTAATCACTATCCCTATAAAAATATAGACTATTTTCATCACCCTAGAAAGTTCCCTCCACCCTTATCATTCAATGCCCACCTGACCCTACTTATCTTCCAGAAGCAATCACTGTTCTGGATTCTCTCACCACGAGGTAAGGTTTGCTTATTCTAAAACTTCAAATAAATTAAATCATACAGTGTATACTATTTTATATCCAGCTTTCTTCACCCAACAGAATGCTTTAAAAATTTGTCTCTTCTGTTGTGTGTAGTAAAAGTTGGCTTCATTTTACATTATGTAAATATATCAGGCCAGGTGTAGTGGCTCATGCCTGTAATCCCAGCACTTTGGGAGGCTGAGGCAGAAGGATCACTTGAGGTCAGGAGTTTGAGACCAGCCTGGGCAACATAGTGAGACCATGTCTCTACAAAAAATAAAAAATTAGTGGGGCATGGTGTCATCCTTCTACATTCCTACCTGAGGTGGGAGGACTGCTTGAGCCCAGGAGTTCAAGGTTACAGTAAACTATGTTCTCACCACTGCACTTCAGCCTGGGTGACAATGAGACTTTACCTCAAAAAA